GAGCTTTAGTGTCATGATGAAAAAAAACACCATTATTGACTAAACTGCTATTCTGTGGAATATTTACAGTGATGATTAGTGATTTGCTGTGGGTGTATATACTTTGTCTTTCTGAAGGACTCTTCTCTTTTGTGTACTGACAGGAACAATGGGCACAGATGTTGCTCTTTGTTGTTGTGGTTTTATTTTATTCTTTTATTCATCAAACGCCTACACATTATTAGGTGCAGTACATCAGAACTGTTATATACACACTATAAACTACAATTCCAAAGATTCAGGATGTCTATGTTCCATGATGAGTGAAAAAAAGAGTCCTGCTTAGAATTTTATCAAAGACAAGTTTTTGTGATGGTTTTGGATCTTGTTGTCCCTTTCCTGCTCTCTCTCCAGTTCTGCACCCCACAATCTCTCTCTCTTCCATACTCTATACTTTAATGCATAACCGCATATTGGAGCCGTCAGGAAGTGGCACACATAGAGCTCATTCTTAAAGCAGGCAGACGGCATGTTGCTTCCTGCCATTCTGGAGCTGTGGCGTATTGGTAGGACAATCAGAGGGTGCCTTACATTTCTAGTAGGGATGTACCGATACTAGTATTGGTGCCAATGCCGAGTATTTGGGCAAGTACTCGTACTCCGCACAAATGTTCCGATGGCTAGCCGGATACTTGGGCTTCCGTTATCAGGAAGCTGGGCAGCAAGTCATTACACGCTGCCCGGCTTTCTGATTGGCCGGGAGGCCGGCTCCATTCTACCTCGTCACTTGTCGGGAAGCTGGGCATCAGGAAGCCGGGCGCCGTTTAATGACACGGGGCCTGGCTGTCTGATTGGAAGGGAAGCCAGCTTCAAGGACCCTCGTGACTAGCTGGCTTCCCGGCCAATCAGGAAGCAGGGCGCCGCGTCATTACACAGCGCCCGGCTTCCTGAGTGGCCAGAAAGCCGGCTCCATGCTTTCTTGTTATTTAGTGAAGAGAAGCATGAAGACAGCTTCCCTGCTAATCAGGAAGCAGGGTGGCGAGTCATTACACGCTGCCTGGATTCATTAATGGGATTTCCGGTATCGGTATTCGGTATCGGCGAGTACCGGAAAAAAAATATTGGTAATCGGTATCGGTGCATCCCTAATTTCTAGTTTTAATTCTGAAGCAGGTGGTAGTTTACTCCTCACTAGGTGGTTACACCTAGTCAATGTCCAGTTTACTCCTCACTATAATCTCCAGCCACTGAGATTAATGACCACATCAATTAATGCAACCCCCAAATTCACTGGCTGCAGGGAGATGGGCTACAACTGACTCTGCTGGGTGGGTGACAACTAACACCAGCAAGTCAGCACCTTCCTTTCCAGATGTAAAAAGGAACTTCCTGTGTTACACTTCAAGTTATACGGCGGTTGTATCCACTTTACTGCTTTTGTTCTCTGTATTGTTAGGGGAGTACTTTTGTGTGAGAGATAAAGTAATTACGGCTTCTCCAAGCCTTGAACTGCATGGTCTGGGATTCTTGTATTGATTTTTCTGGTTTTTGCTTGAACTAAGTTGTCAGACGCCAGCCGTGTAACAAGGGATGCGAGGATTGCATGATTGGCCTTCGTTTGACACAGTAGTTTTAATGGGATTCTCCGTTTTGCATTCTCAACCAGTGTTGCATGTACTCCAGGGCCGCTTATGACCGACCGGTTCAGGGGCATTTCTGCTTGGAGTGGATTCATTAGAACAGAATTTGTTTTTAACAAATAAAACGCAATGCAGATTTCAAATAAAAAGTATAAAAATGATTTTTGAAATTTTGTTTTAGTTCTAAACATGGTAAATAGAGAAAATATAGACACCATACAATCTAAAACCATAATGAGCTGTTTGGCAAACATCTGTACACCATCACTTGGCACCAGTGAAGAAGTGGGATGATCTTTACTGGAAATCTATACTATATAGAAGTATATGTATGCCGCCATTGCTTCCTTCTAAAAATACTAGTTGCCTGGCTGTTAGTGGCTTCAATGCTTAGACTCACTGATAAGTATTCCGTTGGTATAGTCGGAGGAAGGTTTTTCCAGGTCAGTGATGTAGAAGGTATTGAAGCCAGAGGAACCGCATGACAGTCAAGCAGTTGGCATTTTCAGGAGAGGTCAGCAGTAACCTTCAGATCTCTTATTACAGGTTCTCTTTGACATAAGAACTCAAACTTTGGCTTCTCGAAGGGGATACCCATTTCTCCAGCTGAACACTGATGTAAATCTCTCCTGTTAAGATCTCGTTCTCTTCTCTCTAGAAATATTATGAACACTATGATGGTTTCGTCGTCCTTCACGGTACAGACACCATGGCCTACACCGCATCTGCACTGTCCTTTATGTGTGAAAATTTGGGCAAAACCATTGTGCTGACTGGCTCTCAGGTGAGTTCCATTTTATTTTAACATAAAGGATAATTAAATCCTTTTCCCTGCAGGAACCTTCCTAATGTAAACACATACGCAATGCTGAAAATGTATTTGTGCACTCTCTGGCATCCAGACGCTGGATAGCTTGTACATTAACAACCATCGCCGCCTGTTAAAAATGACACCAAGAACACGGCTGCTGCAGCAGCCATGTTCTTGTTTTAACCACATCTGCGGGCCACCGTATATAGACGTATTGCGGCCCGGAAGTGGTTAATGATCGTTGTTCCTGGTCAGAGGATGGAGAAGGTCTTATTCTCTAAGGCAGGAGTAAGCAAACATCGGCTCTCCGGCTGTAGTGAAACTACTAATTCTATAAGGCATTGCAAAACACTGACAGCCACACGTATGACTCCACAGGCAAGTGCACAATGGGATTTGTAATTTTACTACATCTGGAGGGATGAGCTTTGGCTACCCCTGCCCTATGTGTCTCCTGTCAAATGTAGTCCCTGGCAGCTGCAGGACTTGAACATTATCGCATTCCCATGTTGCTTCCATCTATCTATGAAAATGTGGTTAGTAATATGGTACAATGGTCAAGAATGGTAGCTATGTTTCTAGTATTGCAGAGATCTAGTAAAGTTTATCCAAAAGAGCATGTAATAGTTTCAGGTCTCATTAACAAAGATACGAGAGAGAATTCTGCTCCAGGGGAAGAGAAGGATAACACAAATAGCATTCTGCTCCAGGGGCAGTGGTGTATTTAGGTTTGGGGCTGCCCTAGGCAAGACAAAACTCGGGCGCCCGCCACCCCCCCATACACTAAATTTACCCCACCTGGCTGTGGTCTCAGGTGGGCTCTGCAGGGTCTGTGGTGGTCTCTACATGATCTGTGGTGGTCTCTACATGATCTGTGGTGGGCTCTGCAGGGTTTCAGGTGGGCTCTGCAGGGTCTCAGGCTGCTAAGCCCACCATAGACCCCGCAGAGCCCGCCACAGATCATGCACAGCCCCCCTGAGACCCTGCAGTCCACCATAGACCTCACAGAGCTCACCCCAGATCCTGCTATGCCCCCTTGGGACCCAGCAAAGCCCCCCACAGATCCTGCTGAGACCCTGCAGGGGGGCTCTGCAGGATCTGTGGTGGGCTTTGCAGGTTGCAGAGCCCCCTTTGAATCCTGCAAAGCCCCCCCACAGATCCTGCAAAGCCCCCTGAGATCCGACAAAGCCCCCCACAGATCCTGCAGCATCTCAGGGGGGTTGTGCAGGATCTGTGGTGGGCTTTGCAGAGAGCCCCTACGGATCCTGCAGAGCCCACCAAAGAGTATTGCACAGCACACCTGAGACTCTTTGGTTGGCTGTGCAGAATCTATGCTGGGCTCTGCCAGCACAGTCCTCTTACCTTGCACGGCCTGACCTCTTTGGAACATCCCATCGGGCCGGTACATTTGCCGCCCTGCCGGAATCTGCCGCCTGAGGCAAACGCCTTGTTTGCCTCGCGGCAGATACGCCCCTGTCCAGGGGGAAGACATTTCTCTACACACACAGGTATTCTCTGTCTGGATTATTTGTAGATGGCTGCTACAACTGTTATCCTAAATAACTGAAAAGATAAAACATGAAGCCATACTGCTTTTCATAGAAAATGTAACCGAATAGTAAAAGCAGCTCTTGCACAAAACAAATGAGTATTTTAGGTTGTTTATCATTGAACTCCTTTTTTTTTTTTTTTTTTAATTTTTTAAAATTTTTCCTAGGTTCCAATT